CTACTGCTGTAGCCACAGCTGCCCTGGGGCACACTGACAGAAGCGAGGCAACCAGTATGCGCCATCGGCCCCTCCGACCACCACCAACCATTCATACACACACCAGACTCATTCTAGGCAATGGGGGTGAAGTGTCTTGCCTAAGGACACAACGGCAGTTTGGCACTTTACAGCCGCAGCCGCCCCACTGTGGCACCTGGTGTTCCCAGAGGTTAAGTGTCTTGCCAAGGACACAACGACAGTAGTCAGTGGGAGTCGATGGTGAAAGTCTTGAGCGGGGCTTGAACCCACGACCTTCTGGCTCAAAGGCCAAAGCTCTACCAACTGAGCTACTGCCGCCTAGTAGTAGTAGTATAGTCTCCAAAAAATGTTATTAATTCTTGGAGACTATAGGAATCTGGACTAATTCCATTACTATTTGAAAACACATGATTACTTGACTACTTTTAGGGTTTAGGGACGTTTTTCCGCAATATTCCAAAAAATGCATCTGGAAAAAATCACTGACTGCATATTTAATACATATATTAAAGCAATATTGCTATAATTGGCGGGTATAGAAGAACTTATGACCTCATTCTACCAAGAAGACAATTAAGACGACAGATTCATGCAGCTAAAACAGTCTTCCTGACAATGTTCAACAGTTCTGTTTAGCTACAACTGAGGGATTGGGTCTTCATGCTAATTCTTTGTGAGATTTCATCCGTCTTGTTTTGTTCAGCACTTTAAGTTCCCCTTTGTACGTGCTATACAAATACATTTCCCAATTTTGTTTCTGCCCTGGACCTGTCTGTGTCTGTATGTGTACATGTAGTTCATCCAAACGTTTCTAAAAAGTCATAGATAAGACACATGTAAGAACTCATTGGAAACAGTGAGAAACATTAGGCTTGTATCTGATGTAGCTGCGTCGGCTGCTCGGACATCAACATCTGAAGTCGGGCCGTAATAAAAGCGTCCTGTGTGAAAGCGATAGTTTATTTTATGTTGAAGTCTACACCTGGTTTGAGAGTGAAATCTAACCTGCCCTGCACTTTCTCCCCGCTCGGTGTCCGGTGCAATGTTCTGGGTCAGGAGGCAGCGATGGGAGATCTGGGTCCTCTGTAAAACACCGAACCAAAGTGTGAGTGTTTAAAGACCTTATGCCGGGTTTGATTTATTTAGAAATACAGTTTTAATACCATTTTATATTAGAAGAGAACTACTAAAGGTTTCAAAATCAGTTGTTGTTTTTTTTTTCTGATCCCCCCAAATCGAAATAACCCCATAGCAACGCCCTTAGAAACGAAAAAACTTCACAGCCCTTGGTGACGTCAGAACGGATACGTTTCAACGCTGTAAGTTGTTTACAATTTGGTATTCGTTCTTTTTTCGCGGATATTCAAGATGACAAGGCCGTGTACAGCAAGTCTGACATAAATACTTGTGTAACACTTCATCAGCACTGAGATAGTCCAGTGGTTGTGTTGATCGACTGCCAATCCAGAAACTGTGGTTCAAATCCCAACTCAGACACATTTTCACTCTCAAAACGGCAATTTATGTGTAGTGAGCAATTGTCACCTGTAGAGGGCAGTATTGTGTTGGGCATCAGTGGAGAGAAGAGAGAAAAGGCAGTCCTGTGGCATAGATCCATGGTTTTCAATGCATGGGCGTTACCCGCTATGACGTCACACACAGGTTAGAGCATAGACAAATTAAATTCATGAAAAACACTTTTTTGCCAGAATCTATTTCAGATTGACATTGTCTTGCAATTTTGATATCCACAATTTTTTTTAAAAAAAACCCGGCATAAGGTCTTTAAAGGTCCCATGTTTCCCTCTTCTTCATGTTTCACAGTCCATCCTCAGCACAGGTGGGATAATAATTGACACCATAGGACTCTAAAAACGTGTGAAATTATAGCCATTTCTTACATAGAGGTGATGTCACTTCAACTGAAACGGGCTGATCTCTCCTTTCCACCCGTGCAGAGAAGTAGCTTCATTCTAGTAAACAAGTCAGTGTGAGACGCCAGTAAATAGACATTTCAGACCTGAGAATAAACTTTTTATCCAACAATGGTGATCCGTCACGTTGAGCCCAATGTTCTCGACCCTGACCCGAATTATTTAGTTTACAGAAGTATACACTGAGTCAGTAGCACTGTACAGGTCTATTCTCATTGTTAGCGTGACTTGATGTTAGGAATAACACCATGTTTCAAGATCAGCTTTTGAGTGAGTCCGGTTTCATGTCTGTGTCGTCAAATTGAACCGAGGCTGCCTCTTGAGAATGAAAGAGAAAGATAAGATAAGATAAACTTTATTGATCTCACAATGGATACATTTACCAGTAAAGTATCTCTATCTTTTACATCTATTAATGCAATATTGGGATACAAGTCAGGTATAGAATCACAAATAGCTAATTACTGGATTGTCTGTTGGATCATTTACAGACCTGGTTCTGGTGTAACGCGCTGTAATCACCGTGTTCCTCCATTAGCTCTGGATTAGCACTCGCCAACTCCTTAAAGTCACTGTTTCTTTTAGAGATCAATAAAACCATCCGTCTCACTGCTGTTTTCCTTGTCCACAGCAATCAGCCCAGGCCTGATTAAATAACAGCAAATTAGCTGGGTGGAATTTGTCTTGGCTAAATTGAGTTTCTTTCACCTCGTGGCCATGGGAGACTGGGCAGCGCCTGCTGGGACCGAGGAATAAGCATTCATTAACCTGTGACCTGGAAGGAGTATGAATGGAGGCACTCAGCTGTGTTGTCTTTGCCTCCTGAGCACAGCCTCAGATGCAGATAGATACTGTAGATAGATAGATAGATAGATAGATAGATAGATACATAGATAGATAGATAGATACATAGATAGATAGATAGATACTGTAGATAGAAACTGTAGATACATAGATAGATAGATAGATAGATAGATAGATAGATAGATACATAGATAGATAGATAGATACATAGATAGATAGATAGATACATAGATAGATAGATAGATAGATAGATACATAGATACATAGATAGATAGATAGATACATAGATAGATAGATCCATAGATAGATAGATACATAGATAGATAGATAGACACATAGATAGATAGATACATAGATAGATAGATAGATAGATACATAGATAGATACATAGATAGATAGATACATAGATAGATACATAGATAGATAGATAGATAGATACATAGATAGATAGATAGATAGATAGATAGATAGATAGATATATAGATAGATAGATACATAGATAGATAGATAGATACATACATACCAAGATAGATACAGTAGATACTTTATTGATCCCTGAAGGAGAAATGCAGGTGTCCCGCAGCAGAAACACATCTGTCCAAACAAACAAATATTTTTTTTTAAAAGTGACTAACAATAGTAATAAAGTGCAGCAGCAGCAGAGGTGGTGATGAGCTGCTTTCTCCGAAGTTTGCCGTGTCTGCTGTTCGAATCCCGGTCGGAACAAGGCCTTTCTGAGTGGAGTTTGCATGTTCTCCTTGTGTCTGCGTAGGTTTCCTCCTGGTGCTCCGGTTTCCCCTACCACTAAAATATGCTCTCTAGGTTAAATCCTCCAGCTCTGGTCCTGACCAATCCGAGCATCAACATCTAGAGATGGGTTACCGGTCACTGTTACTACGGTGACCACTGCTCCTGAGGCCACTGAAGCCTTAGTGGAATCAGGATGGGTCAAATGCAGAGGATTGAATTGCCCTACGGGGACAATAAAGTGTACATTTACATAATTTTTTATTTGGACCATTTTCCCTGCTCTGGTTCAGAGTGGATTTCTAAATGCTTTATTATCATATTTATGTATTTTTTCAAACTAGCCTTTCTCCAGTGGATTTCCGCTGGATCTGCTTGGTTCCTCTCCAAATGTATGAACCAGCTGCAACATTTGATGAACGCACTGGATCTGCAGCTGGAAGAGGGAGAGGGACGTGGACTTTAGTTTTTCTTTTCAAATAAATAATCTGTTTCATATAATTATGCAAGAAATATTCACATCACATTTGACTTTACAGTGAATTAAGTTAAACTGTACTCACTTTATTTACTCTAGGACAATTTGTCATCTGCATTTGACCCATCCTCTGATGCCACTGCAGCCAAACACTGGAGGTTTATACCTTTTGTTTGTTTTTAGTGGTAGGGAAAACAGGGGACGGGAGGACACCTACGCAGACACAGGAAGGACATGCAAACACCACTTAGGATTTGGGAATGGGAAAGCCAGACCTCTGAAACTAAACAGGGTGTGAAAAAACTACTCGGTGTTCTGGACATCACACACATAGACATGTTACAGACTACACCAGTCTGGGTTTCTGCTGGCCTGGTTAGTACTGTGATGGGAGACCTCAGGGAACACCAAGTCCTTAGACAAGACACTTCATTAGAATGAGTCTGATGTGTGTGTGAATGGTTAGTGGGGGTGGGAGGGGCTGATGGCACAGACTGGTCGCTTCCGTCAGTTTTCTCCAGGGCAGCTGTGGCTACAGTACCACCGTGTATGGAGTGAATAAATAATGACAATGTTTTTTTTTTTTTTACATTTACGGACATTGGTCTCTGCCCCTTATGGACCAATGGCTCAATGTGTTTTTTTGTTTTTATATTGCATGTCTTGTGTTTGATTGCATGTCTTGTGTTTGATTGCTTGATTCTCTGATCTCTTAGATAATCAAACATGTCTGTGTTGACAAATTCAACGGTTATGAAAAGTCCTCTGAGAAAACTACTGTTGTGAAGCATCTTCGAATTCGCCACCACAAATCAGAGAATCAAACACATAGAATAGCGTATCGGTTCATTGGGAGTTGACCAAAGTCCATAAGTATGCTAAATGTCCAAAAATGAGTGTCCTGGATAATCACCACAGACCTTTTAGTTCAAACAAGCGCCATATAAAACCAACGCATTACTATCATGACTAAAATATGTAGAGATAAACATTGAAAGTACAGTACACATCTATCATCAGACTGTTGTTTTGTCCAGTGAGACGAGGTCATGGGAAACACCGTGCACTCGACTCCTCTCCGTTGGCTCAGGACCACTGGCGGTCAGCGGAGAGCCTTTCGTGAACATATTCCTCTGGTTGGATTTACGGAGTGTGACGAGCTCAAAGCGGTGGATTCGCACGTCGGCTGTGTGTGAGTGCACGCAGCGCTGGAGCCTCGCGGACTCTGGGTTGATGTCTTCATACTCGTGATGGATGATCCTGAGGCCTGTCCTGCTCACCACATGCTCCTCTAGCTCCGGAGGCAGCGATTCCAACGCAAGAAATGCACGTTCACAAATCATTCTGTATCGTTCTCTCTCCAAGTGAAGACAGAGTGTAGGCAGCTTGGTGCATCTTTAACTCATGTTTTACTGTTGTTTTAAAGCTGGGGTCAGCAACTTTTAATCCACAAACTCAGTAATGAAACCATTGGGGGCGGGTCCTGGCTCCAAAAGGTCCATGACCACGTGCGCCGACATGCTGAAATACCACTCCGGGCCGGTGGGGGTGTGCTCGGAACCCGGATAGATAAGATAATTACCCAAAGTTTCTTCTTTCCTCTCAAACCTCTTTACAGGATGGAAGAGATTTTTTTTTGGACCTTTTCTAGTTTAGTCTGTGTTTGCAGAATTTTAGCAATTCATGACTCATTTTTCATCACTCACTGACCATTCCCAGAGGTAAAATTCTGTAGTTAAATGGATGAATGGGATGGCAGTACTTTTGTTTTTAAAGGCACAAAACTGCTCCGTCCAAGCAATTATATTCAGTCTTTTCTTTAATAACCCAAAATCACAACAGTAGTAACAGTCAACAAAAATTACTCTGCTATTAGTCAAAGAACTTCGATGGATCGGTAATGAGGCAGTGACAGAGTCAAACAGTTCTCAACACTATTGAAGTGTGAAGGCTCAGTGACTGAAAGGAACCTGCTTTTGAATCTTTGACCCACAGAAACACTGACCTAAATCTTTAAACATGTGTTCATGGTTTTACACTGATCCAGACCAGAGCAGAGAGGATGGCCCTAACCAAACAGATCAAGCAGAAATCCACTTGACGAATGAGAATTTTAGTTTAAAAAATGCTAAGAAAGCATTCAGAACTTCACTCTGAACCAGAGCAGAGAAAATGGTCATAACCAAGCAGACTCCGCAAGCATCAACCAGAGGAAGCGGCTCATCACCCGCGGCTACACCACCTCTGCTGCTGTTTATTTATTTGTTTGTATGGAGCGATGTGTTTCTGCTGTATTTAAGATAAGATAAGATATTCCTACATTCGTCCTGCAGTGGGGAAACTTCAATGTCATCGTGTCAATGGACACCTGAATTTCTCCTACGGGGGATCAATAAAGTAAATATCTATTACAGCAGAAAACAAACAAATTACGAAATAAGATTCAATCAGGAAGTACACATCGAACAGGGTCTATTACGTAAGACAACAGATAATACATTTCCACTAATGCATAATAAGCATAGACTGCATATTTATGCGGACGTAGTCAGGCCTATCTCCGCCGTTCTAACTAATGGGCCAAAAATTGGGCTTTCATAGAGTGATTCAAAATGGCCACGGGGTCTGGAAAATGTGGAAAAACGCATCTGCGCATGCGTCAGCTGCACGAGCCTCATTCATTTAAACGAGAGACTTCAAAAATTCACAGCGAGTAAACTAGAGTGGTCCAAAAAAATTCACTCCCCTCAGCATTGACACACATGTGGAGCGGAGCTTTGGGCCAAGAGCCAACTTTTGGACCATCTTGTCAGCGCACGTCATTTTGGCCACTTTTGAGCCGGGACCCGCCCCCACTGGTAATAAGATGTTAAAATAGAATAAAACTCTCGAGCTAGAATTGCACTTGGTTCAGAGATATTTACAGATGTGTATATTGTACTAATGCAGCAGAGGATATGAGCAGAAAAAAAAATAGTAATAACCCTTTACATTTTGTCGCACTATAGCTAAAATAGCAGCAATTCCATAACCTTATGATGATGTCACACGGTTCACAGAACACAGCCTATAGATCCTTTCAGTCATTGATTACCGAGATCGTGCTCTGGCTTCAAAACCAGCTCCGAAGCCTGACAAACATCGAAGCGTTCAGTCGAGAACAACGTCCGCAAACAGCAGCGCCGTGACTCGCGGCCACAAAGTCCATTTCTCCTGTAACAGTGAAGTGGCACAAAGCAAATAAAAAGTCCCGGCGTCCGCGGAGAGCCGAGAGTTAGTTAGTGTCTGCAATCACGGCTCGACTGGCGCAGCTCAGATCGATGAAAGTCATTCTCTAACGCCGCAGAAAAAACCCAGAGATTCTGCACCCTCCGTCTCTCACAAATGTCAGGAGAACAATAAATGTATAGAAGGTCAGAGGAGTACTAACAGACCAACGCCAGCTTTCATTACTTTTGCTGCTGGCTGTTGCAGAGGCGTCCGGCCACGGCTGCTGACATTTGGTTTGTTTTTACACCGTGTTGAGTCCCACACTGGTGTAGCTCCTAATAATGTCAGAGAGGGAAAGATCTCCAGGCGTGAGGCCCACTACGGCTACTGTGCAGAGGACCGGGGAAGGCGGGGATCGATACATGAGCGGTACACACTGGAGCACTGCCAAAAATGGTGAAATATGAGGAAATAAATGCTGGAATTGAGTGGATTTTTATCTTAATCTGAGCACATTCTGACTGTGTTAAAACTAGATTTGCAATTTACAAAAACTAGATAAGAAATTACGTCTTCTTATAAGTCAAATTGTTGACTTAAGGCTAGGCATATTCTCCATCACTTTTTGCAGTGTGCAGACTGGGATCGATACATGAGATACATGCTGTGTACTTTGAAGTATTTTGAAGGAATGGTTGAGAATATATAGTGTCGGGACCTAGGGCCAAATACAGCCCACATGACCAATTTTAGCGGCCCCCGAAATGAGTTTCAGTGCAGTTACTTGAAGCGTAGGATGGAAATGGGCTTCTATGGCATGTTATACAATTTAAATTAGGTTGAACATCAGGAAGACAACCACATAATAAATCCGTTCTAAAATGTTAACAATTAATTAGAAGTTGAATAAGTCGTTTTTAGTAGTTAAAAGTTTGCAAATAGATCTCTGCTCGATTTTTGTCCCAGTTGTGGTTGAATCTGAACTTACCAGAAAATAAAATACAAACTCATGTCAAGTAATACCTTTGGCTCCAACCAGGTCTTTTGTTTAAAAAAAAAAAAAAAGACTTATATTGCACCTGCGGACTGCCCTAGCCCGTCCGTCTGTGTGGAGCGGATCCCCCTCTCAATGTGTGGGTCTCCCCGAGGTTTCTCACTTTTTTCCCACTGGGTTTTTGTGAGTTTTTCCTTGCCGATGCAGGAGGGTCTGTTGGGCAGTTAGTGTCCAACAAGAAGGACTGTGGTGATGATCCAGGACACTTTCACATTCTACAACATGTATGGACATTTATCAACATTCATGGACACTGGCCTCTCCCTATGGTCCAATGCATATGTTTATATTTGTGTCTTAACTGTTGATTCTCTGATCTGTGTTGGTGATTTCAATGGTTTTGTTAAGTCCTCTGAGATGACTGCTGTTGGGATTTAGGGCTATACAAGAATACATTGTTTTTCCCTTATTACATCCCTGAGATAAGGAAAAAATAACTGTTCTAAAATAATGATGAGGGCGACAGTAGCTCAGTTGGTGGAGCAGAGGCCTTTGGTAGGTTTGAATCCACCACGAGACAAACTTCACGACTCCCACTGATGACTGCTGTCGACACTTAACCCCACTTTGCCCAAAAGCCCTGCAGAGAGATCTCCGCTCCTGTGGACTCGCCACCTGCAGGAGGATCAGTGAGGGGCTGGGGCTCTGTGCTCTGACTGCCACCCCCCTGACCCAGAAATGGATTAAGGGGAAGAAAATGGATGGATGGATGAAATAAGGATTTAAAAAAAATCTCTAACTTTAGCATTATAAAGACTATAAAATCCAGGCAAGGCAAGTTTATTTGTATAGCACATTTTCATACACAAGGCAACTCAAAGTGCTGAACAAAATAATATAGCATTAAAATCATAAAATAGTCAAAGTACATTAAAAAAAATATAAAATCCCTCAGTTGTATGGAAATATAAAATCCCTAAGATGGGCTTCCACACGTCAATTCAATTTATTTTTGTATCGCCCTAAATCACAACAACGGTTATCTCGGAGGACAAAGCTGTCGATTCGCCGACACAGATCAGAGAATCAAACCGTTCAAACACAGGAAATGCAATGAAAACAAACACACAGAGACATCGGTGCATGAGGGGCAGAGACTAATGTCCATAAACGTTGTTGAATGTGGAGAGTCCCAGTGGGAGAAAAGTGAGAAACCCCGAGGAGGCCCACATTGAGGGAGGGATCCGCTCCCACAGACTGATTATCAGAAATACAATATGTGCTCAAATATGTGATGATTTAGTCCCAAATCTGTGCAATGGCGATGTCCCTTTTCCCTTGTTTTCTGGGCTTGTTGATATGAAATAAATGCCTGTTTGTCATGTTTGTTTGATCCCACGAAACATCTTAAATCCATTATCGTCCGCGAGCCGCAGTGGGCGTTAAGTCTTTCAACAGGAAGCGATCCACAGAGAGAGCTTAATAATGCAGCTCTGTGAGATTAAACCTGGATATTTTCCTTGTGCGTTATTAAAAGGCAGTGTAATTACTTCAGAACCGGTGTCACAGCTTCAATAAGAGCTGCTTAATGCGGTTACTGCCAGCTCACATGTAATTGCACGAGATGAACAATGGGCCTCTCAAAAGAACGCAGCAGATTCAATAAGAACCAACTCCCAGAATGATAACTGTGCCGTGATATGTGCCCTGACAAACACACGGCTCTGGGGGATGCTGCTGTCGCCGGGAATCGTCAGAGAAACTGTAATATTTCATGTTTTCCTCCGACAACGTATTCAATTTACAACAATATCTTTTTAATTACAATCCAAGATGAATGGTTGGATGAGTTTGTTATTGCCTGGCTGCACTTTCAGGGTTTCAAAACACACGCTGTGTCAGTGGAAAAGTGTCGAAAGGAAAGACGTTTTTGGACAGACAGACATTTCCTGGACTATAAGCCGCTACTTTGTTCTGGTGCTTTGATCCCTGCGGCTAATGTAGCGATGCAGCTAATGTGTGTATTTTTATTGTGGTAGTTGTCAAAGCTAAGTTCATGGACATGTAGCAACTTTTAGTAGCTTCAAGACACTAGTTTATTGTCAAAATAGACAAAGGTGAATGAGTCATGAAGCTAACGGTGACTGGGCCATGTAAGCTAACAGTGAATGAGTCATGGAAGCTAACGGTGAATGAATCATTGAAGCTAACGGTGAATGAGTCATTGAAGCTAACGGTGAATGAGTCATTGAAGCTAACGGTGAATGAATCATTGAAGCTAACGGTGAATGAGTCATTGAAGCTAACGGTGAATGAGTCATTGAAGCTAACGGTGAATGAGTCATTGAAGCTAACGGTGAATGAATCATTGAAGCTAACGGTGAATGAGTCATGGAAGCTAACGGTGAATGAATCATTGAAGCTAACGGTGAATGAGTCATTGAAGCTAACGGTGAATGAGTCATTGAAGCTAACGGTGAATGAGTCATTGAAGCTAACGGTGAATGAGTCATTGAAGCTAACGGTGAATGAGTCATGAAGCTAACAGTGAATGTGCCATGGAAGCTAACGGTAAATGAGTCATGGAAGCTAACAGTGAATGTGCCATGGAAGCTAACGGTGAATGAGCCATGGAAGCTAACGGTAAATGAGTCAGCTAACGGTGAAGCTGTTAAACTCGTTTTCAAATCCTGTTGTGACCAGTTAAAACAGTCGTCTCTTGGCTACATTAAATATGACAAAATGACACATAAACGTTGCCTCCCCATAATTAGTTCTGACTTGGCACCAGCAGGAGACCAGTCCCTGTGCTCCTCAAAGTCCCAGCAGAAGACCAGTCCCTGTGCTCCTCAGAGTCAGTACATATGGCACTAACATGTCACAGATGTACTTTGTTGCGAGGCCCTGGAGAGAGCTGTTTTAAACTAAGTCTATTCTCTGAGGTGAGTTTATGCACTACTTTCTCTCAAACCAGGCCTTTTGGGGAAAAAAAAAACATCTAGTCTGAATTTCACAAGATACTTAGAAGGCAGGAGAAAGGAAACTTACAATTTACAAAGAAGTCCAATCTTCCAAAATTCTCTTGGACGGAATATGGTGGAAAGATTGCAAAACCCTTAGGTAAGAGTTGAGTGAGGCCCATCTCCACCTCTGCAGTAGGACAGTGAGGCCCATCTCCACCTCTGCAGTAGGACAGTGAGGCCCATCTCCACCTCTGCAGTAGGACAGTGAGGCCCATCTCCACCTCCGCAGTAGGACAATGAGGCCCATCTCCACCTCTGCAGTAGGACAGTGAGGTCCATCTCCACCTCCGCAGTAGGACAGTGAGGCCCATCTCCACCTCTACAGTAGGACAGTGAGGCCCATCTCCACCTCCGCAGTAGGACAGTGAGGCCCATCTCCACCTCTGCAGTAGGACAATGAGGCCCATCTCCACCTCTGCAGTAGGACAATGAGGCCCATCTCCACCTCTGCAGTAGGACAGTGAGGCCTATCTCCACCTCTGCAGTAGGACAGTGAGGCCTATCTCCACCTCTGCAGTAGGACAATGAGGCCCATCTCCACCTCTGCAGTAGGACAGTGAGGCCCATCTCCACCTCTGCAGTAGGACAGTGAGGCCCATCTCCACCTCTACAGTAGGACAGTGAGGCCCATCTCCACCTCCGCAGTAGGACAGTGAGGCCCATCTCCACCTCTGCAGTAGGACAATGAGGCCCATCTCCACCTCTGCAGTAGGACAGTGAGGCCTATCTCCACCTCTGCAGTAGGACAATGAGGCCCATCTCCACCTCTGCAGTAGGACAGTGAGGCCTATCTCCACCTCTACAGTAGGACAGTGAGGCCTATCTCCACCTCTACAGTAGGACAGTGAGGCCCATCTCCACCTCTACAGTAGGACAGTGAGGCCCATCTCCACCTCTGCAGTAGGACAGTGAGGCCCATCTCCACCTCCGCAGTAGGACAGTGAGGCCCATCTCCACCTCCGCAGTAGGACAGTGAGGCCCATCTCCACCTCTGCAGTAGGACAGTGAGGCCCATCTCCACCTCTGCAGTAGGACAGTGAGGTCCATCTCCACCTCCGCAGTAGGACAGTGAGGCCCATCTCCACCTCTGCAGTAGGACAGTGAGGCCCATCTCCACCTCTGCAGTAGGACAGTGAGGCCCATCTCCACCTCTGCAGTAGGACAGTGAGGTCCATCTCCACCTCTGCAGTAGGACAGTGAGGCCCATCTCCACCTCTGCAGTAGGACAGTGAGGTCCATCTCCACCTCTGCAGTAGGACAGTAAGGTCCATCTCCACCTCCGCAGTAGGACAGTGAGGCACATCTCCACCTCTGCAGTAGGACAGTGAGGCCCATCTCCACCTCCGCAGTAGGACAGTGAGGCCCATCTCCACCTCTGCAGTAGGACAGTGAGGCCCATCTCCACCTCTGCAGTAGGACAGTGAGGCCCATCTCCACCTCTGCAGTAGGACAGTGAGGTCCATCTCCACCTCTGCAGTAGGACAGTGAGGCCCATCTCCACCTCTGCAGTAGGACAGTGAGGCCCATCTCCACCTCTGCAGTAGGACAGTGAGGTCCATCTCCACCTCCGCAGTAGGACAGTGAGGCCCATCTCCACCTCTGCAGTAGGACAGTGAGGTCCATCTCCACCTCTGCAGTAGGACAGTGAGGTCCATCTCCACCTCCGCAGTAGGACAGTGAGGCCCATCTCCACCTCCGCAGTAGGACAGTGAGGTCCTTCTCCACCTCTGCAGTAGGACAGTGAGGCCCTTCTCCACCTCTGCAGTAGGACAGTGAGGCCCATCTCCACCTCTGCAGTAGGACAGTGAGGTCCATCTCCACCTCCGCAGTAGGACAGTGAGGCCCATCTCCACCTCCGCAGTAAGACAGTGAGGCCCATCTACACCTCCGCAGTAGGACAGTGAGGCCCATCTCGACCTCTGCAGTAGGACAGTGAGGCCCATCTCCACCTCCGCAGTAGGACAGTGAAGCTCACCGCACACCGAAACGCAGCGCCTCGCGGCGCGTCACTTGACGCGCGTTCATGACATGTGTCAAATTACACCGGAACGCCTTGGCTAGCGTCCTTTTCCAGCTGATCGCAGATGAAATGGGTGAGTGACGTTTGGAAGTTTCTACTAATATTTTGGGGGAGGAAACAAAGTATTTACGTGAAATTATGCTGGCAAATATTACAAGAAAAGACTATTTGGACCCATTTTTTAAACAGGCTAATAACTAGCTCTGGGTAACGCTGTACTTGGGTTATCAAGCTTTCCTCGTCCATTGTGACCGGTTTACTTGAGCAATAGCGCCGACAAGTGTGTAAATTTGAGACCGCGCTCACAGCTACGTGATAAGAAGCGCAGAAGAAGAAAACTACGGGTGCTTGGGAGGGACAGTTTCAGCCGCGGCGCCGCGTCTGGATTCAACAAAACTGAATCGTGGCGCCCGGTCCAGCGTCGCCGCGCGTCACTGCAACCTTGGTGTGCGTTCTCTCATAGAAAATAAAGGAGGCGGCTCTTTTGCCGCGCGTCAAGGCGTTTCGGTGTGCGTTGGGCTTAAGGCCCATCTCCACCTCCGCAGTAAGACAGTGAGGTCCATCTCCACCTCTGCAGTAGGACAGTGAGGCCCATCTCCACCTCTGCTGTAGGACAGTGAGGCCCATCTCCACCTCCGCTGTAGGACAGTGAGGCCCATCTCCACCTCCGCAGTAGGACAGTGAGGCCCATCTCCACCTCCGCAGTAGGACAGTGAGGCCCATCTCCACCTCCGCAGTAGGACAGTGAGGCCCATCTCCACCTCTGCAGTAGGACAGTGAGGCCCATCTCCACCTCCGCAGTAAGACAGTGAGGTCCATCTCCACCTCTGCAGTAGGACAGTGAGGCCCATCTCCACCTCTGCTGTAGGACAGTGAGGCCCATCTCCACCTCCGCTGTAGGACAGTGAGGCCCATCTCCACCTCCGCAGTAGGACAGTGAGGCCCATCTCCACCTCCGCAGTAGGACAGTGAGGCCCATCTCCACCTCTGCTGTAGGACAGTGAGGCCCATCTCCACCTCCGCTGTAGGACAGTGAGGCCCATCTCCACCTCCGCAGTAGGACAGTGAGGCCCATCTCCACCTCTGCAGTAGGACAGTGAGGCCCATCTCCACCTCCGCAGTAGGACAGTGAGGTCCAGGCCTCGTTACCCCAGGCTGCCTTCACCAGCCCTCTGCAGATGCCCATATTAGGACTGGATGGCTTCCCTCTGCAGACTCTCCATCACGAAACAGAGGGAGTCGCTACCAGATGGTTAAACAAACACATCGGCCAACTGCTCATAACTCAAATCCACTTAGCGCCCTGTTGTCAACATGTCTCTCACTCATCCTGGTCCTGGTGCACTGTAGCAGGAGGGAGCCATTCTGGGACTATCAAGAGCTTTAACTATCTCTAACTAAAGTGCATTTTGGATTTATATTTTTTGTTCTGCATTCTTTGTAAAACTGGCCACTGTTCTTTGCCTTAGACTTTTGGCACGGATGGAATCTACTGATCTACTGCTTTGCTTTGTCCAGAAGCAGGGAAAAAAAACTAGGATTTTTTTTTATTTTGACATGTTTTTGTCCCAACCAAAAGAGATTTATGAAACATTTTGTACTATTTGACTCTTTGGGCTGAGATCTTGATTTGAGTTCGAAAGAGACAGACAAGGTAGATGGTATTTATTTCACTGGTTGGTTTTTAGACCCATTTTAATAGTAAAAAATATATAGAAATGATCCACGTTCGTCATAGACTGTAGACTGAAAGGCCAATCAAAGCATAACACTTCTTCTCTAAATGCCAGACTTATCAGAATAAGCGAGAAATTCCTGAAGGGTGTGTTTAATTTTACTCACCAGGACAATCCATCGTCAAATATATCAATCCCTCCCTCACTCGCTGCTACTATCCTCCCCCTGTTCCCTTGACTCAGCAAGAGTAATACGCTCCATGATAGGGGTCCCATGTGGGGTCTCATGTGGGGATGGTCCTGGGGAGGCACTGAGCACAGGGTCCAGGGGTTGCAGGGTTTGGAGTTCTTGGGGGTTGCGTCATCTTTGCAGTTTGTCGCTGTTGCCCTGGCCTCCTCCGAGCGTAAAGCCTCGGCGGTGTACTTGAGAGGGTAATTTATTAGCAAAGAGCTGCTCGGTGAAGGGGCGCAAAGCTTAGCCTGCTAATATCACTTTTGGCAGAGGAGGAAAGTTATAAGTGCTTGGTGTAGCTTTTATCTCGTTCCTCACTGCAAACCTGGGCTGATGTCTTTCCTTATGGGGACCCACGGGTTATCGGACAAAACTGAGTCACTTCCTTAGTATGTATGTCGATTGTAGGGGATCCTGGTGTCTTCAAACACTCACAAACATCCGAGTAAATGATTTTCAGCTTATTTAATTTGATTCATTTTTGTACAGCCATAGTGCAGTAGTTACAGTATCTCGGAAGACTTTACTAAACTGTCGCCAACATAGTTCAACAGTTCAATACAGGAAGTGCAATAATTAAAAACACAGATCCATCGGTCCATAAGGAGCAGAGCATGGATCTATAATAATATCTGGATAGGGTATTACTAGCTTATAGCTGTCCCACCCATGGGCACAGGGGGCGCCCCTTGGTACTGCAGACTAAATTCACGTGGGCTACCCAGAAATTTTCCTCATAGAACTCAATGTAAACTAAAACAGCTCGACCTCAGCTGAGAAAGAACCTACAGCTTTCATAAAGATCGGATTTTGTGGGGATTTTAGTGTCCCTTGTCATCCTGAACTTTTTTTCTTCTTAAACCCTTTGGTTTACTGCCACAAACTCTGCTTGTTTCCTTCCCGCTCTGACTCCGCTCTGATCAGCAGCTCTGATTGGTCAGAGCGCGGCCGAGCCCCTCGGTGCACGTGCATGAGAGCCACACACACGTATTTTGCGCAAAGCATTATGGGAGCTCGTCCACTGCGCAGAACCGGGAGGACCGGATTTCCGCTAATCTGTCTGTCCCTGCGAAGTCCCATGCGCTACTGAGCACAAGCCATTCATTTGAATAGGGCGCCATCTTGGATCAACGGGGCTTGGAGCAGAGACTAATGTCCATAAATGTTGTTGAATGTGGAGTGTCCTGGATCATCACCACTGTCCTGAGAGCCTCCTGCATCGACAAAGAGCTGTAGAATCTGACCAGCATATGTTCTGTATTATTGCTGAAACATAATTATCTCAGGAACGTATTTATTCTGACCCACGTTGCTAAACATTTGATATCTGAAGCATGCATTTTTGATACCCGAGCGATGGCGTCTCTGTTCTTATGCACATTGATAGTAATCATATGAAAAGCTTTGTCCTCTTTTTTTCGGTCTGGATAAACTGGGATACAGGTGCAATTGCTGCTACCTTGTCTTAATTTCTTGACAAAAGTAAAAAAATCCAAAAATGAGAAAAACCTTGGCGAGGCCCACATTGACCAACTTTGAGGCAACTTTTACCGTCTGACAGCTACACTTATATAAGTGATGCATGGCACACGACATCATGGTTGGACCATTGTATTACCACTGCTGATGCACATGCTGTTCTGAACACTATGGAAATATTGTATGAGCATTCTATCTCGGATCATGTCCCATTTGTTATGCGTCTGAATGTGAACAGTCTTCCGGAGTTGACTCAGAGAGTAGCTCTGGTCTCGAAGGCTAAAGTGGAATGGTGCAAACTATCACAAAATGATATCAGGACATATTGGTTGAGAACTGACGCTGCTCTAAGCAATATACATTTCCCTAATCATGCTGCAATGTGCACAGATGTTAACTGTAAGGATACTTCCCACTGTAAAGACCTTTGTGTGATGTATGAATGTATTGTTGATGCTGTTTACAAGAGCAGTGGTCCCTACCTTACAGGTGTGAAAAGGGGAAACATTAAGCCAGGCTGGAACAAATATGTTGCAGTCCATCATGCAGAGGCCAAAAAAGCACATAAGGCATGGGCACAATCTGGCAAACCCAGAGCAGGGCCTGCCCTGGAGTATAAAAGGTTAACCAACGCACGGTATAAATATGCCATTCGCCATGTTACAAAATGTGAACAGAACATGAGAGCAGACTCTATGGCTGAAAAATTACTTCCAACAACGTTGCTGGTTTTTGGAATGAAGTCCGAGCTCTAAACAGAGTTAACACGCTACTGCCCAGTGCTGTAGAGGGAGTGTCTGGGGATGAAGGCATAGCTGAACTATGGAGACAGCACTACTCTGCACTTTTCAATTGTGTGCAAAGTGAGCCCTATAAAGTGGGTAATCTGGATGATCGGGATGTAGTGACTATTACACCACGAGAAGTCCAGGAAACAATTGCTCAACTGTCTGACAACAAGGCTACTGGCCCTGACAAAATCACGGCAGAACACCTGAAATATGCCAGTCCAAGAGTTGCTGTACTGCTGGCATTATGCTTCACCGGGTTCATGACCCATGGGCTTCTTCCTGACTCGTTACTGTCTGTCACTCTAGTGCCTGTCATCAAGGATAAGGCTGGCAAAGTTGGGAGTTTGGATAACTACAGGCCGATAGCTTTAGCTAGTGTGATATCTAAAGTCCTTGAGAAGATACTGATGGGTCGCTTGAGTCACTGCATAAGAACAACAGACAACCAATTTGGATTTAAATCCAAGTTGGGGACAGATCTATGCATTTTTAGTCTTAAGGAGACTGCACAGTCATATTTAAGACAAAACTCTTCTGTGTTATTAGGGTTCATTGACGCATCCAAGGCATTTGATCGCGTGAACCACTGTAGGCTTTTTGGAAAACTCAAAGAGAGGAATGTGCCTGATAGCATAATAAGAATATTGACCTCCTGGTATTCTAATCAGCAGATGCAGGTGAAGTGGGGTAATACCATCTCAGCTGCCTTTGGCGTCAGTAACGGAGTGCGTCAGGGCGGGCTGTTGTCCCCTCTCCTATTTAACCTGTACATGGATGACCTGTCCCAGTGTTTGAATGGCTGTAGAACTGGTTGCATGATCGGTGACACACTGGTCAACCATTTCATGTATGCCGATGATTTGGCCATTCTTTCCCCGAGTAGTGCTGGCTTTCAGCAGCTTTTGAACGTATGCTCTGATTATGGGGTCAAGCATGATATTCAATATAATGCCAAAAAGAGCGCTGTACTAATCAGCCGCACCAAAGGGGACAAACATCTTTGTTTTCCAGACTTTTACTTATCTGGTCAAAAGCTGGGTGTTTGCAGCAAAATTAAATACTTGGGTCACATCATAACTGACCGACTCTGTGATGATGATGACATTAATCGCCAGTGTCGTAAACTGTACGCTCAAGCCAACACCTTAGTGCGGAAATTTCACATGTGCACAGTCGATGTTAAAATTAAACTGTTTAAAATGTACTGTTCACCTCTGTATACAGCTCCACTGTGGAGCAGATATAAGAAGGCTGCACTACAGAAGCTCAAAGTTGCATATAATGATGCTTTCAGGATTCTGCTGAAAAAGCCCAGGTCCAGTAGTGCTAGTCTGCTGTTCTGTCAGAGTCGTGTGAACTCTTTCCATGCTCTCATGAGAAATATGATGTACAGGTTTATATGCCGTCTGAATGTCAGTGAGAACTATTTTGTGCGGTCTCTGGTGAACCCCAGTATGAGTTCTGTGCGCTACCAGTCAGCTCTGTGGAAGCTCTGGTACAGTTTTCTTTTATAACTGTTTGTCTGTTGTGTTTGTGATGTGTTTGTTTGTTTTTTATGGACTTCGAGTCTGATAAATAAAGATAATAATAAATAATAATTGAGGGAGGGACAGACTGTATATCCAGGATTCAGGCCGTAGAACCTTCGTATTGACTCAACAAACTATCTGGCTTTCACACACTTCTGCATACTTCCTGATTCCTTTGATTGCTTCTTTATGTATTTATATTTTCGAGATCTATGTAGATTTTTATGATGATCTCTACTTCTGACTTGTTTGCACTGAGAGCCAAGGTAATTTCTTAGTCTGTGACCTCCTGTTATTTACATGGAAAAAAAAAATGATTCTGATCTCTCCAATCAAATGACCAAATACAAGAAACTGGTGGTTCTGTCCAGTCAGGCCTTCACTGTTTGGATCCACACAAAGAAACAGGACAGGATTGTGTTTGGCTCTTCTGGTGATTCCCCGTCAGTATCAGCTCCTTGTCTGTGACAGAGTGAGTG